GCTCCATCCACATTTCTGCCTGTATCAGTAGTTTGTTGCTTTTTATTGCTGAGTAGTATTCCATGGTCTGGACGTACTGGAATTTAACCTTTTGCCTGTTGAGGGGTATTTTGATTCTTTCCAGATTTTGGCAATTATGGATACAGCTGCCGCAAACCTAAGTGCGTAGGGTTTTGTGTGAGCATATGTTTTCATTTCTGTAGGATAAACATTTAAGAGTGATCGATTATCTGGTTGTATGGTAAGTTGCGTGTTTGTATTACAAGAAATTACCAAACCGTTTTCCAGAGTGGCTCTACTGTTTTATATTCCTAACAGGAATGTATGTAAGAGATAGTTTCTCCTCATCCTTGCCAGCTTTTGAGGTTGTCTCTGTTTTGTATTCATATGTGCATGGTGATGATGCCTTGTGGCTTCAGTTTGCGTTTCCCTCATTGCTAACAATGTTGCACAGCTGTTTATGTGTTTATTTTCTTAAAATTTTTTTAATGTTTTATTTATTTCTGAGAGAGAGAGAGGGAGATGCAGAATCTGAAACAGGCTCCAGGCTCTGAGCTGGCTGTCAGCACAGAGCCTGACGCAGGGCTTGAACCCACAAACCGTGAGATCATGACCTGAGCCGAAGCCGGACACTTAACTGACTGAGCCACCTAGGTGCCACTATGTGTTTGGTTTTTTTTTTAAGTTTATTAATTTTGAGAGAGACCAAGACCGCAGAAGTGGGGGGAGGGAGAGAGAGAGAAAGAGAGAGAGAGAGGGAATCCCAGCAGCCTCCTTGCTGCTAGCACAGAACCCACAAAGCTGTGAGATCATGACCTGAGCTGAAACCAAGAGCTGGATGCTCAGTCAACTGAGCCACCCGGGCTCCCTGTTCATGTATCCTTCTTGAGTGAGATGTCTATTCATACCTTTTGCCCATTTTCTGATTTCTACCTTTTTTTTTTTTTTTTTTTTTTTACTGTTGAGCTTAAGCATACTTGCTGTATTCCAGATGTTTGCCATTGGCTAGATATGTGTCTTCTGAAAACTTGTAGCCTTGCATTCTACGTTTTAATCTGTGATCTATTTTGAATTACTTCTTGTATATGGTATAAAGGTTTAGGTTAGGGTTCATTCTTTTTCTTTTTCTTTTTTTTTTTTTTTTTGTGCCTCTGGATGTCCAGTTGTTCCAGTTTTGTTTATTGAAAAGGTTATTCTGTACCTTATGTACCCGCCATCCACGATCACACCTCACGAAAACTGATAAGAATTCCTGTGTGTTACCTATTTCAAACACATCTTTTCAGCATTGGTTCGTTAGCGTCAGGACCCAACAAAGTCCACGCGTTGTAGTTGCGTCTACTGACTAAGTCTCTGTTCTGTAATAGCCCCTCAAGCACCTTTGCTTATAAGCCACTGATTTGTTGGTGAAACCAAGTCATTTGTCCTGTAGACTGTCCCATCGTCTAGATTTGCCTGCTGCTTCCTCGTGAGATCGTTTAACCTGGCCCACTACCCTCTGTATCTCCTAGATACTGGTAGTAGTTCTAAAATCTTGTTTCGGTCCCATTTCACTTTAGGGCGAGGGTCCTTCTTGGTTGGTGGTTGGAAACTTCCCTCTGCCCCATTTTGGGGATGTTGATCTTGACTGTGGGCTCAGAGTTGGGCTTCCTCGGACTGCCTAGTGCGTCCCTTATCAAGTTCTCCATCAGCCTGTTAGCTAGAGGTTTTATCATTCATTGATGATCCACATCTACGTCTAGTATTTGTTTTAGGAGTTGCAAAATGGTCCTTTTTATTCTGTTGTTCTGTCTATTGATTAATGGGACTTCCGTAGAGTAGGACACACCCTCAGCATTTCTGTAGTTACCCCGAAGTATTGGGGATTGGGAAACTGAGGGCCTTAGAGGTGAAGTCACTCGTCCCAGCTGGCACATGGTGGAGTCTGGCCGGAACCCTGCTGGGTGACCTCAAAGCAGAAGCCTGGTTGTGCTATTTAAACACTCTGCTGCCCCAAAGTCCCTGCCACTGTGGAGCCTCCCCTGACCCTCTCCCCAGCCTTGGCCGAGGCAGGTGACGCTGCCTGAGTGTTTACTGCAAAGTTGCCGTGAGAAAGAACACGAGGCGATGCTGGGGAAGATGTTTGTAAACCGTGAGCGCTGCCTGGCGTCGGGTAGATAGATGGCTGGTAAACCCAGAAGCGTGGCGAGTGCGGGCCAGGCCAGAGAGCCCCGGCAGCTTCGGTGGCCCTTTCCTGCAGGGAGGGTCCTGGGCCTGCTGGGCAGAGGCTTTGTCCTGGAAGGAGGCTCTGGAGCCGACGGGAGCTGCTCACGCAGGGCCCACCACGTATATGTAGGACCCGGGTTTGAGTCCTGGCCCTGATTCCGGGGCAAGTGCCCCACCTTGTCCAAGCGGATCTCCTGCGAACTCACTGACCTACATGGGGAGCGTGAGAGATCTCTGCATGCCAGAGACTCTCCAGGGTCGGAGAGCAAAGCCCTGGGAAGACGCTGGGCCTGGAAGCTTCGCCCGGCTTGCCCAGCTTCCGCAGCTGAGTAGCCGCCCTGGCGCGTGTCCCTGCCCCGCGGGCAGAGTCAGTCCAGCGATGCCCCAGTGCAGGGCCTCTCACCACTGCCTTCGGTGGCAACCAAAACAGCCTTTGACCCACCCGCCCGCCCTTGCTCAGAAGCTGCAGATTTAGGAGTATTTGCACTTCCTCTAGGTGCCCCCCTCCCAATTCCCTGTGTTTATTCATTTAATTTGGGATGATAGACAAAGATGATGATTTATAACCCAAATCTTCTTTTTTAAAAGCAGTATTTCTGGCACTGGTTTCCAGTTTTGCAGCCATGCTTGCAGGAGCTATTCTTAGCCCTGTCACTGCTGCTTTTTCAGAGCTCGCCATCGCCACCGGTCTTTATATAGACGCCTTCTCCAGTTCGGAGTTTCTTTATATAGATGCCTTTCTCCACTTTTGATTTTTAGTCCGGATTCATCTCTTGGTCAGTGTGTTAGAGAGCACTTATTTTTTTTTTAATTGGAAAATAGAAATGCAGAGGGCCCTCCGAGGGTAAAAACTCACAGTTAAGAGCAGACGCGGTGCACATGAGGACGCGGGAGAGGGGCCATGGGCCTGGGCGTTCCCAGGGCGCCCCCGCTGGTGCCACTGGGTTCTGGCCGAGAATATCCGCTGCGGGTTGGAAGGCACCAAGAGGGGTCATCTTGGCTGAGATGGTCGGGTTGGGGGGCTTGGCTGTCTTCTGGGCCAGGCCGCAGGGACCCTCCAGCAAAGCTGTGGGGGGGGGGGACATGGTTGGTTGGTGGGGGACCTGCGACTCAAGCTGCAGCCAGAGTGTCCCTCCCTCCCCAGTGTCCGTACTCTCCACCTGGTGGTCAGCTGGTCCGACTCTGGTGGCCCTGCAGGCTAGTGTCCCAGGGCCTGTGCTGCAGGGAGAAGGGGCCCCAGGATGGCGGTGACCAGCCTGTCAACAGCCGGCAGAACCGAAAGGGACGCCTGTCTGGGCCGCGGGGCTCGGGTGCCCTTGGCCGCTGTGGCCAGCCTCTCGAGCGCTTTGCTCTCTGACGGCAACTCTTCCTTGGGGACATCTGGGTTCATGTTTCGTGTGAAATCATTCCTTTGTTACTAGGGGCCTTGAAGCTGCTGCTGGGAAGAGCAGCAGACAGAGAGCCTGCACGGGGTGGCCGGATGGGACCCGAGAACGCCAGCCTGTGTCCCACCCGCCACCGTCTTTATTTTCCCACCCAGAGGCTCCCTTTATGCCAGTCTCCTCCTCTCTGCTTCTCCGTGAAAGCCTCAAAACAAAAAGCCTTAGTTTTTTGTAATAAGGACTGAAAATCAATAGGCAATAAAGTAAATGGCTTCAGGGCTGAACTTGGTGCTGGGGCTGGAAGGATGGAAATGCGGTCTTGCCTCAAGGAGTGGACAGCCTCAGGCGGAGAAACAAGCGAGGGGACCGCATCTTACGCAGAAGCACAAAGGCATGGAACAGGAATAGACATCCCAGATCCGGGGGAGGGGGGAGGCAGGCCATCCGGACACCTGGATTAAAAGAGCAGTGTGAAGGCACACAAGGTGGGGCACAGAGCTTCTAAGGCAGCACAGACAGATGATAAGCGGGTGTCAGCCATCAGGGAAGTTGGGGAGAAAGGCAAAAGGCACAGCCCTTCGAGGAGATAAAGCAACACAGTGATCTTGCTAGATTGGGAAGCGTGCAGATGTGTTTACTGAGTGTCTGCCATGTGACAGGCGCTGGAGAGCCCACTGCTGGCAGAACGGCAGAACGCAGCTCCTGCCCTCAGGGCGCTTACACTCTGGGGAAGGAGGCAGACTGATAACAGATACTGAGTAAATGTACGCCTTGCTGCCTTGCTGGAGGCTGTCAGGTGGGAGTGAGTGCTCTGGAGAGAAATCAAGCAAAGTGGTGAGGAGTGCCTGGGGTCCCGGAGGCGTCGCCATGTGTGAGCCGGTGTCCCGGGCAGAGACCTACGGCCAGTGCAGAAGTGAGCCAGGTGGCTGAGCAGAGACAGCCAGTGCAAAGGCCCTGTGGTGGGAGCAGGCTTGGCACGGTGGAGGGACAGCAGGAGGCCTTTGTGGTTGGAGTGGATGGTCAAAGTGAGAACTGTAAGGAGGGGAGGGGAGAGCTGCGGGGAGCCGTTGGTGGTCTTATGGACCAGGGGACAGATAGCAGCTTATACTCTGAAAGGGGATGGGACCTACTGGGGAGTTTTGAGCTGAGGGGGAGCCCAGTCTGGCTAACGTCTGAGAAGCTTCATGTGGCCACCGTGTGGGCACTGGACAGTGGGGGCAAAGGCAGAGAGTCTGTTTCGTGAACCCGGGGGAGGCGCGGTAGGGGCTGGGACTGTCGTGGTGGCCGGGCCAGGGAGACACGTGGTCAGTGTCCAGTTACATTTTAATGGTGGACGTAAGAGACCCTGAAGATTGTTTGCAGCGCGGCCACCCACCCGGGAAGGGGGCTAACAGTGCGGTTTCCTCTCTCCAGGCCAGCGCCTCGCCAACTGCAAGGGTTTCTCTCAGGGACCCCCTGCTGCCAGGCACCATGACCGTGAGGGGGGCCGCCCTGGCCCCAGATCCTGCGTCGCCCACGACCATGGCAGCCTCGCCCAGCGTCTCTGTGATCCCCGAGGGCAGCCCCACAGCCATGGAGCAGCCTGTGTTCCTGATGACAACGGCCGCCCAGGCCATCTCGGGCTTCTTCGTCTGGACGGCCCTGCTCATCACCTGCCATCAGGTACCCGGGCCCATCAGGAGCCTTGAGCCAGCGAGCCTCTTGAGTCCAAGAGAGTGTTAGGCCCTGCTCTGCTGCGGTAATGAATAGGCTGAAGCTGGGCTTCCGGCCAGTAGAACTTCATGCTTGTTCATGTCCCTGTCAGGTGTGGGTTGGGCCCAGTGTGTGGCTCCCACGTCCTGTGGCTTGAGGGCATCAACCGTCTGACACCTGGGTGTGGCTCTTCAGCCATCTCAGTCCAGAAAGGACACTGCTGCTCACCTTGCGTGGGGCAGAACACGTGTAGGTTACGTGAGACCTCAAGATGGGCGGGGGTGCTGGTCTACTCATGCACAAGCCGGTGGCAGCCGGAGAGAAGTCAGGTCTCCTGTCCTTCCCCGTACACGAGGTCCCGAGAGCAGGCTGGTGTGGCCTGAGCTCCGGTGCGGCCGTCCGAGGAAGGAGAAGGTTTGAAGAGGGGAGGCTGAGCCCGTTTGGGTCCCTGTCCCTCCTTGGATGCAGTGGCTTCCAAGGCAGTTGGCTCATGGCCAGTGGGGACTGTTTTGTTCTCCTCCTCCCGGGCCCAGGACTCGGTGGGGCCGAGTGTGAATTCGCGAGAGCTGGGGCGGGACTCTGGCTGCAGGGACTGAGGAGCGTGGCCAGAACAGTTGTTGGCATTTGTGTGTGGCTTCTATCCCCTTCCCCCCTGCTTTCTAAAAACTGTGCTTCATTCTTCCAAGTTCCCGGTGAGGCAGGCAGCGCTGCCTCTGTGTAACAGATGGGAAAGTGAGTTGCAGGGTGACGTCATGGCCGCTGTTCAGCCAGAAACCGCTTCCACCTGGGGCGCCTGGGTGGCTTAGTCGGTTAAGCGTCCGACTTTCGCTTAGGTCATGATCTCGCGGTTCGTGGGTTCGAGCCCTGCATCGGGCTCTGTGCTGACTGCCAGCTCGGACCTGGAGCCTGTTTCGGTCTGTGACTCCCCTCTCTCTCTGACCCTCCCCTGCTCATGCTGTCTCTCTCTCTCCTAGAAATAAATAAAACATTTTAAAAAAAAAAAAAAAAAAAAAAAAGAAACCGCTTCCACCTTCCATGGGAGCGAGGGTCCCGTCTGTCCCATGCTGCTGCCCTGAAACCCTGGGGACCGGGTGGCAGGGAGGCTGGGGTGGAGGCAAGGAGATGTAAATATCTGCTCTGTGCCCCTCACCTGAGGTTCCCAAGTCTGGCTGTACATACGGGTCCCCAGGGAGCTTATTACGACTCTAGCCTCCCCGGTCATCCTTGACTCTGATCAGCGCAGCCTTGGGCACAATCTCCCGGCCCCGTGTCGCTGAGGCTGGCCCGGGCACCGCCGAATGCACCCTGCAAGCTTCATGCGCCCTCTGGCTTGATGTTCAGAACAGCCTCATGGGAAGTTTCACCATCGAGGAGGGCACCGAGACTTGGGGTTCAGTAATGGTCACAGAGCTAGCAAGTGGCAGAGCTGGACGGCAGGGCGGAGCAGAAGGGCGGTGGCTGCAGAAGGGCGGTGGCTGCAGCGCTGCTGTGACAGCCGGGCCCCTGGCTGAGCCCACCCGCTTCTGCCCCCAGATCTACATGCACCTGCGCTGCTACAGCCGCCCCAACGAGCAGCGCTACATCGTCCGCATCCTGTTCATCGTGCCCATCTACGCCTTCGACTCCTGGCTCAGCCTTCTCTTCTTCACCAACGACCAGTACTACGTGTACTTCGGCACCGTGCGGGACTGCTACGAGGGTGAGGACTGCGGGCAGGGTGGGTGGGGCGGGCACACACCCCTCCCGAAACCCCTCCCTCCTCGGCTCCCTCCAGCGGGCTGCCCCTCCCTTCTCTACCTACTTTAGGGCTTCCATCCGGGCCCCAGGTGACTGGTGACACACACGGGTTGCACTTTGCCACCTGGCTCCCACAGCCCCTTCACAGATTAGCTGCAAGCAGGGACCCTGCCCCTGGGGCTCCTTTCTCAGTCCGGCGTCTCTGATAGGGGAAGATGGCCAAGAAGTTGGTCTGTTCATAGATAGAAACCCCAGGTATGAACGGGGTTTAGCTGGGGGCCCGTGGCAGGGCAGCAGCAGGGGTGAGTCTCCCTCCCCAACATGTCTTAATTCTGAGGGCTTGGTCCCGGGAGCAAGCTCTGCTGGGCCACCCAAGAAAGCAACCCTCTGCCTTTCACGGGCCTTGGGCCTCGTGTGTGGTATGGAAACATCACTGGCTCTGGGGCTGAGCTCCAGGCACCGGCCAGGCCCTCGGCTGGGCGCTAGGCTGTGAGGGGGAAGGCAGGCCCCCTCCCTACCTGGCCAGTCACCACGGGTCGGTCGGGGCAGCTGTCCGTGGGGCCCAGCGGCAGACACAGGGAGCAGAGACTCAGCACCCTGGGCAGACGAGAGAGCTCGTGCACGGTGCAGGGGAGGAATCCTTACTCTGCGGGCCGGGAGGTGGGGGGAGCTGGGCTGGGGGCCGACCACGGCTGGAAGAGATTATTAGATGAGATGAGATTTTCTTTTTTTACTGTGGATGCACGGAAATACAACGCCACTGGAAAGCGCAGGTTAGAAAACCTCTCTGTGGAGAACGGGTAAAGGAGGGAGAGGCCGGAATCCCCGGACAGGTCATGTGCCCGTGATCCCTGGGCTGGCATAGGCCAGCAGGGGTGGCAGGAGGGGGTCCTTGAGCTCAGGACCCCCACTCCGGTGACCCCTGCGCCTCCTGTCAGAGTCATGCATTTTCCTCTTTCCTCCCATATCTACACTGCTGGCCTCGGGCAGAGTGAGCAGATGCCGGGTTCCTTATGTTGGGCGGGACAGAGCTGACCACGAACAGCCGTCCACTCCCCTGGCTGTGCGAGGGCCCCGGGCTCCTCGTGGATGTGGGAGTGCAGCATGCTCATTCCCGCGGAAGCGGAGTCTCTCCTCCTGTCCCGCTCTGAACCCGTGTGTCCCTGACGTCATGTGGGCCACAGGCATCGCCTTCGGACTTGGCGAGGAAATGCAGGTGCCTCCTGACAGGAGCGCTCTGGGCCCCTCCCGCCCCTCCAGCCGCAGACCTGCCCTCACCTGCCCCTCCAGCCACGCTGCCCTCCAGCCCCCTCCGGCCGCCTGGCAGGTGCTTCCCCAGTGCCTGGAGAGAGATCCTTGGCCCGCACCTTCTCTTTTGTCTCGACTCCAGAGTCTCCTCAGGCCTCCCCTGTCGCTCCTCTCCCAGCGCCCCGCCCTCACGACCTGCCCACGGTTGCAGCTAGGCGTTCAAGTCCGCCACGCGCCCCTGCTCTGCTGTCTCCTCCCCGAGGAGACCTAGCCCTGCTTGCGAGAGCAGGAACGGGCAGAGAGCCCGGGCCGTAGAGCCAGGCACCCGGTAGGTGTTCCCTCAGTCTGGATGTTTGGAGCGAATAAGGAACTTGATCAAACACCTGCTGGGTGCCTTGGATTCGCGTGGGGTCGCCCTGAGTTCCCAGGCTGGGTTCCCTGGCTGGCTCTGCCAGGGGGGAATGCTGAGGCCGGGTGGGGACCTGCTGTGGGCATAACTGGGGCTCTAATGCCTGATGTCCCCGGAAGCAGCAGAGGCCAGAGATTCCTCTGGGTCCCTGGGGAACTGCAGAGGCTGGTGTTGTGGATCCTTTTCTGATCACGCGCCAGTGTCACACGGGTGCCCGGGAAGGAGTGGCCTCGGCCCTCCGGTCCCTTCAGAAGCAGAAGGCTGTTCCCTGCCATGGGGTCCTCTCCTGTGTGGTCAGGGGGCAGGGGGGTGTGGTCCTCCTTCTCTGCGGGGCCCAGAAGACTCGGGCACCTGGCAGAAGTGGGGCACGGCCAGAGGAGCCTCTGTACCATCCTCACGCTGTGCCCCAGAGACGGCAGCAGATGGTTGGCTGGGCGCCCCCCCCCCCCAACTCCAGAAGCCTCTTTGTTCAGGCCTCTCCTGTCCCAGCCTTCCTCCCCGTCCACTTAAAGGTCCTGGTAAGCCGTCTGCCTCCCTGCTGGGCACGTCTCCTAGCAACGCTATTATCCCCTCTCCCACGGAGTTTACAAACAGTGAGGCAGCTGCGGGGAAGTTCACCAGCTTGAGTGTCTGAGTTGGTGGGCTTAGCCCTCAGCCTTGCCCTTCACTGCACCTCTGCTCAGCGTCTGGGACCCCCTCCCCCTGTCCTTTCATCTGCAGGATCGCCTGCAGAGTTGGGGATAGAGTATGTCCCTTAAAATCCGAAAAGAGGCCCCCCAGGACCCGGGAAGGGACAGAGGGGGAACGGGAGCAGGGCTGTGCTGGATGACCTCTGTTTCGGAGCCAGGCAGCCCGCACCTCACTGGGTGCCACACAGATACCTGCTTATCTTTTTTTTTTTAATCTTTTTTTTTTAATGTGTATTTATTTTTGAGAGAGAGAGAGAGACAGATTGCAAGTGGGGCAGGGTGGGGGGCAGAGAGAGAGGTAGATGCAGAGTCCAAAGCAGGCTCCAGGCTCTGAGCTGTCAGCACAGAGCCTGAGGCGGGGCTCGAACCCACGAACCGTGAGATCGTGACCTGAGCCAAAGTCGGATGCTTAACCAACTGAGCCACCCAGGTGCCCCCGATTGTCTTTTTAACAAAATTAAGACAACTAAAATTGTACTCATTAAAGTAATAGTGCACAGAGTTGAAATATAAAGATACAATTGCCCTGACTCTTCCTCACTTCCAAGTTCACTGCTTTTTCAACTCTGTAGAAAATCTCTGTAGAAAAATTTTTTTTTCCTAGAATAATCTAAAAAATATGCTTATACTATTGTTTCTTGATTTCTCGATTTTAGATAGTGTTACATAGTGACTTCCTATTGTTCAAGGCTTTGATTTAGGTACTTTATACCACACACTGCTCTTTTCTTCATCTTTTCATTGTGACTAGATCACGTTTTTTTTTAAGTCTGCATTCAACGTTTGCTTTATTACCTGTCTGTAAATATTGATCAGAGCATAGCCTTGTGGCGTTCCAAGTCTACATATCCCTGGATAACTTTATTTTCCTCTGGTTACTGCTTGCCTTACTTTTTGGTTTGCTCCGCTGTGGGGCTATCATTAATTCATTCCCAGATGCTTCCGCTGAATAGCAGAGAGAAACCCTCTTCTGTGCAGCCACAGCAGTGAATCTGTTAGTTCTGGGTTTCCCTTGCTGGCACCTGCCCCGGGCCTTGCTCTTCTCGCTCAGGTCTGGACTGGCTCCCGTCTGGCCTCTTACCCCTCAGGCACTGCCCTGGGTCTTTCCATCACCATCATCCTGGGAATCCCGCTCCCCTCTCCTCTGCTGAATCGCCCATTCCCTGGATGCCATTTTCCCCTTGTTTATGATCTGCTCCCGCGTTTTGGTCAGTACATATATTCCCAGAGCTTCTTGGCAAAAAAAAAAGGTGCCTGAAAGGCCTAAAATCTGGAAACGATCTGTAACTATTTTTACTATAGTCCTTTTTGGAGTTTGATGGGAATCCTCCCTCTGAATTTTGAAGGCGTGTTTCTACCCCGGGGAAACTTAGCTTTCAGTGTTGTCTGGGGAAAGTGCTAGATTCTGATCCTTAGTGCCTCTATGTGACCTGCTCTTTTAGGGCCCTCTCCCGTGGGCCCTCTCCGGGTGGGAAGCCCTGTCCTGAGGTTCTGGGAAGTTTCCTCGTATGTTTCTTTGATAACTTTTCCCTTCCGCTTTATCCTCCCTTCCTGGAATTCCTGTTTGTAGGATGTTGCGCTTCTGGATCGAGCCTCAGAATTTCTTTATAATTTTTGAGCTCAGTTTTGTTCTGCTTTGGGGGAGTTGTTTGTTTTTGTTTTGTTTGGGTTTTTAAATTTTTTTTTTTAATGTTTTATTTATTTCTAGGAGAGAGAGAGAGACAGCGTGAGCAGGGGAGGGTCAGAGAGAGAGGGAGTCACAGACTGAAACAGGCCCCAGGCTCTGAGCTGGCAGTCAGCACATGTAGGGCTCAAACCCACGAACCACGAGATCATGACCCAAGTGAAAGTCGGACGCTCAACCGACTAAGCCACCCAGGTGCCCCTTGTTTGGGTTTTTAATCTTTTACCCTTGAGCTTTTCTATCAAAGGCTTTATTTATTTATTTATTATTTTCTTTAATGTTTATTCACTTTTGAGAAAGAGACAGAGACTGAGTGCCAAGCATGGAACCTGCTTAAGATTCTCTCTCTCTCTCTCTCTCTCTCTCTCTCTCTCTGTCTCTGTCTCTGTCTCTCTCTCTCTCTCTCTCTCAAAAAAAAGGTAGGGCTTAAGACTGCTGGGCCTCCCATTTGGGTGACAAGATGTGCCCTCTGCCATTTTTATGCGGTGGGGGGGGACGCAGAGGGGACAGAGGGGCAGGCACCAAATGAAGACTTTCTGACTCCGGGCCTGTTTCCCCAGAGAATAAAGTCCTCACTTCCAGCCTGGGCAGGCCGAGTCGAGGGTGCAGATGGGGCAAGGCACCTGGCATCTCGCCTGTCGCATTCAGGCCCCGCCTACTTTCTGCACATCTCTCTGCTGTCAGGTCCGCCGAGCCGAGCCGTCTTCTCTGAGGGCAGGCCCGACTCCACCTGCCCTGAGAGTAAAAGCACAGCACCTCCATGTGGAGACTTGTGGCCGAGTTTCCTGTTTGCACCCTCGCCTGCAGCCATCACAGCTGCCCGGCGTGGCCAGTGTTAGGGCTTCCCCGGGGTTCTCTTTGGCCCCCTCCCCTCTCAGGGTCGGTGACCACACTGCACCATCCAGAGCTGTGGACAGCATCTCTGGTCGGCT